AATTGGTTTTTTACTTTTAAATTAAGAAAAATTTTTAAATTAAACTTTCATTGAATAAATAAAAATAATTAGTTGTTATAAAGTACATGTATGAGTAGTAATACAGTTGCAAGTATAATTACGTATTTTAAAAAATTTTATATTACCGACTGTAGATTATAACTATAATTAACATCAGAAGGTAAGATTTTGTTATTATAAATAATTAAATAGAATATTAAAGAATATTTCTTTATAACTTGATTACTATTAAAAACATGTTTATATAATGCATAAAAATACAAAGATTAATTATCATACTGTAATATTCTTTCTCAACGTAAGGACTCAAAAAGATAAGATTACAGTCATAATGCGCAGTTAATTTTTGATTCTTGTGCTAACCTCCAAATGTAATAACATATACGTAAAACCAGTATAAAAGAATAATATTCAATATACAGGGAAAAGTTTCTTGCAGAAAATATAATCGATTTATTACACAGCAGAGTTCAATTTCTAGAAAATACCACAAATTCCTAAATTAATGTATATAGGTATGAATACGCGCAGCCGCAGAAGGAGATAGAAAATATCACTTGACTGCCAAGAGGAGGATGGGTCGCTGTGTTGCGTAGTAGGAAGGAAGGTTGTTTCATTGGTGGCAGGATTTGTTTTTTTAATCTTATGAGAGAAAACGGTATGATGACGAGTGACACCGGTTCACGTTGGTACGTGCACTGTGCAAACACATCAATGGAAAATGTCAGGACTAAGTGTACGAGCTGTGACAATGAGTTGTGATCCTAGTAGTTGTCCTCGTTTGATAAAAGAGTCCTTGTTGGGCACTTGTCCCTTTCCTGGTCGTTTGCATTGGTATTCGGTAACGCCGGTCTTTCGACACGGTCAACCGTGGAATGGCAGCAGCCTTAAAAAAGAATCATTCACGCAGAAGGTTGGCCGCCCTAACGTTTCTTTCCAACATCTCCCTCGATGGCAGCCACCGCGATACCAAGTTAGCCGTCCTATCGCGAAATGGTGCTGCTCACACTCGTACCCTCAGCGACGGTCAAGCTCATCAGGCTGATGTTCGCCAAACCGATCTGGACGTTTCCAGTGAGGAAGTTCTTGATGATGGTACAGAAGAGCACTTAATACATTTATCTACAAAACAAACGTCTTCACCACAACTGGTGCCAAAGAATGCTGAACATAACTCATTTAGTTCAAATTCAGATGGGGTGTTGACTCCTGCAAAGGCAGTAGTAGCTACTTTTCTTGAACAGGAAAGAAGTTATCCGCATATGTCATCTGGATTTCATAGTTCATTCAGAGAACGGTAAACAGTTGTTTAAGTGTATTTTGTTTCACTTTGTAAGACTGTCATCAATGAATTTGCATTGTAGCTCTTTGTTATTTGTATCTATAATAATTATATAAGCAGTTGTTTATTTTTTAACATTTTGAAACAAGGAAACGTACAGTAAACGAATACTTATAATATGAAAGTTTTTGTATTTGCACTTTCAAAATTAAACAAACCATCTTACATGGACACAATTAAATGGATTGATGTGGCATCTTATTTGTAATCTTATTACAAATATATTATAATTTAGTTTTACTGTTTGTTGAGTAATTTATATGCATGGAGTATTGCATTTTGTATCACTGAATGTAATTTTCTTTATAAAAATTATGGTATCATCCATAATATTTGTATTTATTTAATTATTAAAGTACCTTTTGCATATATGAATAAAATTAAGGTGTAACAAATAATAAAAACTAATAGTAAATTCGTAACTGTTATACATTTGTCTCTGTTTATGTATTGTAAAAGAAGCATAAAAGTGATTAAAATTATAGTATCATAATTATACTAATTTGATGAAAGACATTCTAATGATACTATATAATGCATTGTGTATATTATCTATTGAACAATGTAAGTTTTACATCATAGAAATGTATAATAGTTAATATTGCATGTTTTTATGTTTGTTATTTTATCTAATCAAAGTTATGAATATACAAAAAAGTTACTTTGAATTAAAATTGTTCTAAGTTATTATTAATATTACAGTTTAGAAGAATACATTGTAATTAAGCTGTAACTAAGATTTCTTCATTTACATAATGAAATCTTACATAGTAGATTTCAAAGATTGAAGCAGATATATTATTTTTATTTTGTAAAATAATTATATCCAGTCATTATAAATGAAGAGGATAAAAATATTTTTCTGTTTCATAGTACTGGCACTACTGGCAGTGAATATTCTTTACCTGAAAGAAGAGTGGGTTCTTTACAATATAAAAAGCGTATAACTCATCAAACATCTACACTTTCTGAAGATATCAAACACCAATATAATAGTTCCAATGAGAGCATTGGTTCTTTACGTTCGAAATCGCAATCTACAAAATCAAAAGCGAAGGCACCAAATAATGCGCAATCTGCATGTACAAATAGCGGTATAATACCGGAAGTCACAAGAGAATTACGTTTAATGCAACATCCTATAAATGGTTACAAATTTGGAGATGATAGACTAGTTTTGGTTTCTAATAAACGTGTACCATTTCTAGTATTTTCTGCTCTTCCGTACAATAAAGGACAAAGATCTAGTTGGTAAGTTGAAACATACATTGTGAAACTTATTGGAAGCATGGTAAATAATGTAAATCTATTTATCACATTTAAAGGTCTGAATTGCGTAAAGATACTGGAAGAAGAAAAAATATTTCTTCACAGCGCCCATTATCTGCAATCAATGATAATATTGATCCTTTCGGTTTGTTGGGTGTAGAACGTGCTAAAGACGGCCAGGTATCTGATTTATAAATGTGACATAATTTTATCTTTGAGTTGCAAGTAAGCTTAATATGCTTTTTTAGGAAATATCTTATGGACAGTTGCTTGTACCATCTAGGCAATTTCAGAAGGACAAAAAATTACATTTTAGTGATAACGAGGCAATAGAGCTTACACATGTTATACCTAACAAGCATCCTATGGTTTCAAGGTATTCGATGCAAAGATTAATATCTTATTGTTGTTTAATATTTAACTTGAATTTGTAAATTTGATTTAAAAATTTAAAGTAATCGTAAAATGATTTCTTACTGAAAATTTGTATAATTCATGTATTACCTTTCATATATTGTATTGTTTTTCCACCTTCATTCATTTGTCATGTATTTCATTAATGTATTCTTACAGAAAATGCATTACATTATTTGTTTATTTTATAACAAGATGTTTCAATCATATTTTTGCAGGACAAAAACTATTACATGGAATGTGGATCACTCTAAATGGTAAAAACTGTAACAGTATTGTACTTAAAAAAATTTACATAGATACATGTTTTCAAAATATGAAATTTAATTTATATTTTATTTTATGATGAATCATTTTGAATGATGTAACTAGTTTTTTGCATTTGTTTTACATATACTGTATTGTGTAGATGTAATACTATATGTATATATATAAAGCTTTTTTATTATAATTTGTATTGTTCTGATTATATATATGAATTAAAATATAAATAATTACATATTTTAATGCTTAAACTATAAATTCACGGTTAAATTAGTAATTAGTAATTACTGTTATTACAAATTGTTTGGCAAACTTTGTAGTGTGTATTAATACTGCCTGTATTAAAGAATTATTGATATGGTTCTTAGAGTGAATCAAAGTAATATTTTTGTCACAATGTGAATCAATGACCTCAGCAGTAGTATCTAATTAAATTCAGGCATTGTCACTTACATACACACATTATCATATTTTTGTTTGTACACACATACATACACATATATGTATTCATAATTCATACAAAACGATATTAAATTTAGTATTAAATATTTAATGTCAAAAGCAATAATTAAACGAATTGTTTAGTGCATGCAATATAGAATTAAAAATAGACTAGTGTCTTTCAATGTAAAGGAACTTGTTGCAGGTGCTTGTCTTATGACACAGCTACACACCGTGCTCAACATTTAACACCTGAATCTCCACCACTATCTTTTAGTACTGACTCTAAAGGTATATAATGTAATAATAAAATGAGAATCATTATGCTACCATACACCAAAATAATTTCCATTATATTACAGTTTATGATTGGGATGAGCAATCGCTACAATACAATCCCAATTTATTGGATGATCCAGAACTCATAGCTGGAAAACATAGAACACTACTTACCTTTACATCATATATGGTAAATCCAGCTATAAATTTACTATTAACAGTAAAAATAATTTACTGGCGACTAAATAATTGATTTTCTTTACGTAGGCATCAGTTATTGATTACGTACGACCATCCGATTTGAAAAAGGAATTGAATGATAAGTTTAAAGAAAAGTTTCCACATATTCAATTAACTTTGAGCAAACTAAGAAGGTTAGTATTGAAAAGTAATAATAAGTTAGTATCGAGTGGTAAATCTAATACAAGTATTAACAATGTTATACTTAGTTTAAAGCGAGAAATGAGAAAAATAGCAAAAATGGAATATGGTATTGATCTACTGACAGTAGCAATGGCTTATGTATATTTTGAAAAACTTATTCTTCGAAATATTGTTACGAAACAAACACGGAAATTATGTGCTGGCGCATGCTTACTTCTGGCAGCAAAACTGAATGATGTGAAGGGTGATGTACTTAAATCCTTAATAGAGGTATTTATTAAAAATATAAGCATTTTATATTAATTCCTAATATTTTACATAAGGTACATTTTTTAAACGATTTCCAGAGAATTGAAAGTATATTTCGTTTAAATCGCAAGGATTTGATAACATCTGAATTTGCTGTTTTGGTGGCCTTAGAATTTGGCTTACATCTCCCAACATGGGAAATATTTCCACATTATCAGAGATTGATTTACGAGTCTTGATCTTTTTTTTATGTTTCGTTTACATAGATCGAGAACAATTTCATCATGAGATTGCAATTGTGTAAAGTACAAGGTGCAAATGTTTTTATATGAAACGTACAAACATATGAGCAACAGGAAAAAAATTTGAGCATTGATAGGTAAATCGTTACTCTACAATACGAAAAGCAAAGATCTATCAGTAATATCTGCAGGCGTTTTGATAAATAACAACTATATGGATAGGTCGGTATTTTACAGTTTCCTATATGTTTATTTAACCAATTCGTAATTAACTTTACTTCTCTAACATTAATAATTGAATTCTTCGTAGGAAGAATTACAAAAACGTTATCTTAGACACAACAAAATTTGATGAATTGTGTGTTGTTGATACCCGAGTTCTAAAGGCTGTAAGAATTATATTTTGATATATGTTAGAAAATTATATTTTTCCTCTAAAGTACTTTTTCAATTGTTAACCTTAATATTATGGAATCTTTATAAGTAGTACTTAACGTAAATAATAATCCTTTTTTGAAGACACAGTGATTTATGCAAAAATATGTTATTAATTACAAAATGAATTAGGTAGTCAGATAGATAGATAGATAGAACAGATGTGGCAAAGACAGGCGATAAAGATTTCTGATTTGAAGTACCATTTTTGCTGTTTTAAGTCGCTTTTTTCGAGAAACTTCTATTACTTAGACATTTCCATCTTTGTCATTGTATAAACATCAGGCAGCTGATTAAACATATATTAATAAATAATGAGATATTTTATTTACAAAAGTGATGACTAAGTATTTCTTTTTTTAATTAATTGTAAATTATTTTTTAATATTATATATATACATACATATAAAGGATGGTAAAGTGGTGTAATATATAACGATTTATAAAATTAAGTTATGTATTAGTTTCTATAAAATTTTATATAATTATTTATAGCATAAATTTGAGTAAATGACAAATATGTGTTGGCTAAGAATAGGAAGAAAAGAAGAGGAAGTAATTAAATACTTATAAATGTATGGAGAATATCAAAGTGTCAGAATTATCTTTGTAAAAATACATAGATTTAATTATTTTTTCTTCTACTTTCTTTTTGTCTAGTCAAAATAAAGGTATAACTTATACGCTTTTGGTACTTTGGAACTATTGATTTAGAATAGATAATATTTACAGTTGCCTGATGCATTACTTCAAGTGTTACTACAATTTTGACATGCGCAAAAACTGAAAAATTTATTGTTTTTATAAATAGTTTGCAGTGTATAACTGTATTCTTACAGTACTTCAAAAATATAATTGTATTTGTGGTACAGGGTTAAATGGACTGAAATACTTGGAAGTACATATAATAGTGAGTGAAACTATTAAAGCAGAAATAATTGAAAATGAATATAACATGATTTGCCAGTGGAACAAACTGAACTAACTTAATATTATTAGAAATCCTTTAAAATTCAAAATAAGACATCAGAATATGGTGTGCGACGTGAATTTTAATTTCTTGGTACACTTATTGTATTCTATTTGTATATAAAAGTATTTACAGAGGAATGTTTTAAATTGTTTAATAGATACATTAATATTTTTTTCGTTCTGTGTTTGTGTTATTCGTACAGGAAAATAGTATCAATTATTTATTTATGCTATATTATTTACAAAATATTATCACTGTACTAGCGCCTGCTGAAAATTCTTTCCTAAACTTAAGCACTGAAATCTTTGTCAGTTCTTGTAATTAGTGTAAAAACGTACTTATGTGTTTTGTAAAATATATGTATAGAAATTGATGGCAGTATTTATCAAGTTTATATGTTAAGTTTCAATTCGAAGTTCTATATTAATGTGTTATGTTGTGAAATTAATTCTATTGTAGACACATACTTGTTTTATTATTATATATACATATATTATAATAAGATTACAAACATAAAATTAGGTGTATAAAAATAACTATTTTAATATTTTAATTTGAACAATTATCAATAGTTCTAAACTTTATTCTAACAGCAAAAAGGTAATAGACATAAGGACTTCTCAAATTTTTTTTTAGCTTTTCATTTTTTATATTTGGAATATCTGAAAAATGCACTAAATTATGGTATAATATTTATTGTACCACTTCTTACTTTGTTATTTAAAGAGTCAAAAACACTTTTGAAATTTTCTGTGTATAATTTTTTTTGATACATGTATGTAATTGAGACATTTTAATCTTTATTTAAGCAGCTTAACTGGATTGCTACTTTATACTCATTTATATAAATATCTATTTCTTGCGCAAGTCTCTTTATATTTACAAAATGAATTTACGCACTAGTATGTTTGGTAATCGTTATATATGATTTACGTTTATATAATACTACAGTCAATGAGTTACAATTATTGTTATGTGATTATTGCAACATTTTTGTTAGTATATTACTAGTCTTATGCGTTTAGGAGTCAGGCTTTCATACGATTTTCTATATATAATACTAAAACAATTTTTTAGTACAATGTTCAGTTATGTGATGAAACATTACAGTCAAGTACATCGATCTCCACATTTTATAATCAATTCTGGAAAAAAAAACATAATATTATTCATTACGAATTTAATTATTTGTCGATTTACAACTGTACTCAACCATTGTATTGAAAATATATCTATGTTCTTGTCTGTAATACGGGAAGATAGGAAATGTGATTTGTAATTTCGTTTAATAAGGTTTAGTAATTAGATTGTAGGTGTACATAACTATATCATACATTTACAAGATTTTAAAGTCAAAATGATTTAATTTCATATTTCTTTCCTACTTTATAATTTTCTGAGATTAATTGGGAATAGTTCTTATCAGTGCCATACACAATCAAATATGCAGTTCTTGTTATGTGTCTAAACATAAGTACAATTATGGTTCTGTATATTCTAAGATCTTTCCTTGATTATCATTTTTCGCTTTAAAGTACTTTTATCCACTCTATCAAGGAACCTTGGCTCATTTGGAGACATTACTCGATATTGTACAGATTTCTTAACGTTAGAAATAAGTAATCATTCTAATTGAAAACTTTACATATAAATATCAAGGTTATTAATATTGTGTCCAATTTAATAATGAATTCAAGTATGGTGGAATAGGATGTTCAGGGTAACTCTATGTAGATTTGCAAAAGATTTAATTTATACTTCTTACTGTTTAATATTTTTGCAATGGAAACCCTAGCAAACTTCTTGTATTGTAATTGCAAACCATCCAATATATAACAGTAATGCGTTATTAGTTTTGCACAGATACTCTTAATATGTTGAGTGCAATAGCTTGTACACATTGAGTCTTTACATAATCTATGATCAACAGTTGGCAATGATTGATGACTTTTGTCAAATTGGGGATAGGCAATATAATTGTCAATTCCTTGAACATCTATCATCGTTTGTAATTGTCATGATTTAATCCCAAAACATGAAATAATTGGGAAGCTGGAACTGTTCATGCAAAGAACATCTATTTACAATAGAGATGGGCTCAATTTAATTTGAGTAATGTACAATCATTCATTTGAACATTTATGCAATGTATATTATTCATCCTGATTTGAAGTATCTTTCTTACTCTTAATTTCACAAAAAATTGTCTCATGAAAAAATTATATATCCTGAAAAGGCAAGGATTATGCAGTTATCAATACTTGTTCCTTAAAATCATTTTTACTTTGAGATCTTAAGTTCACTGAACTCTACTCACTAAATTTCTTCGAAACAATGAAACGTGTTTTTATTATTGGTAGCTATATTACAAGAGGAATGATGATAAATTCATCAGTGATAATGAAATAACTAGAACATCCTGTATATTTGCTCATTAAAAATAAAGTCTTATTTTCTCTCATAATTAGACCTATAAGAAACTAATCTTTTGTCTTTTCTTCGTTGCCGACACTTCGTATCTGGATAATAATTTTGCCCATTTTTTATAGATAGCATCTTGATACTATTTCCGTTTTCTCGGAGCGAATGTCAAGCTATTAAAAGTAACAATTATTCGAGCTTTGTGTAATGTACTTACTTATATGCGATACATAGCAAATTATGTGTGTTGCGTGCGTGTATATATATATATATCCGCGTGAGTGTATGAATGTATACATGTATGCACCTATAGAGAAAATGACGGCTGAAAATTCGATCGAGCCGATTTTCTGCGATACTGACCCTTCATTTCTTTCGGTTATCATTATCGATATTAACACTCGTCCCTAAATGTTACATGTCAGAATGGATATAGAGGAGAACGGACTTTGATACGATACATTTGTAACATTTGATAGAAAAAGAAATTATGATCCGATAAGCGGATCGATGATTAAGATAGCTGCCCATGGGAGGTTTATATGTAGCTACATAACGTAGTCTTTGATATTATGTGATACCGTTTTTATTCGTCTGATAACATTGTAAAGCTATTCGTATCAACATTATAATATCTTGCGGCAACGTTGTCCTTTTCAATGTGCTAACCAGGTATACGCTTTGTAAGATTGCGTGGACCCACTACTTCTTAATATAATTGCTAACCCAAAATGAATGACCCCTTCGTTAATTTCACTTTGCGGTAGTCCTTCATAATTTCCGGACACTGTTCAGTGTTCATCCAGCGAATCTACTTAGTTCAGACGTTGTTCGATCATTAAGGTTGTCCCAGAAAGTATCGCACCGATTTTCTTCCTTTTCATAATATGTATATATTTCTACTGTTACGTAGCGTACGAATAAAATTCTTTGATAGACGAGAACACCAGATCATAGATGATACGGGTACGTACTTATTCTAATGATTAAAATGATTTTCTTGTTGGATTTCTCGCTCAGTAAACTGATCTCGAAACCCGCGATATCTTCTAGGACAATCTAGAGTGAAACTGTTTAAAATTGTTTTACCTGTTTCACGAGGAATGTAATTGTAGATCGATTGCGTCGCGTCCGATAGACGGTTGAGCTTCGCGCGATCAACTTCGAATGAATGTTTGATACGACACTGAAAGAGTAAATATTCAGTAGCATTTGCGTGCTATAGTCTGTCAATTAAATGAAAAAGAAAAGGAACACTTGATCGCGTTAATTCGCGTGACGAAGAACGGCCGATACTCCGTATGCGGTTCGCTTTCATATCGATTGTTTCATTAATATTTCAACACTGTTAAGATAAAATGGGAAGAGAATGTATAAATACAAATAAAGTGTAAACAGAAATCGACGACCATACGTTATTACTTAACACGTTCGTTACCAGCGTCACATACTTGCGATGGCCGTAATCCTATATTTTGCATGATGAAAATGAAATTAATTCTATAGATGTCGTTATTAGAAGTTATAAACTACGACATTATATTTAGGAACTCAATCACTCGTTTCACTTTCATTTTTCTAATATTTCGTTTAGAAGATTTATTGGATTGTAGAAAATATAATTGAGGAGACCGTTACCAAAATAAACTTATACTACATATTATTATATACTATCATAAAAAAAAACAAGGAAATTCCTCTTGATTCAGTTGTTAGACCCGACAGAAATATTGTAGAAATACAAATATTATGACGCTGCAATTAAGAGAAGATTATTTATTAAGAGTCTTCTATGTAAGGAATCTTATCGATTAATATGAACAAAATAGCAAAAAGAATCTATGTTTAGAATATACAAGAAATTGGTATAGGTATACAATTCTATGATCAGGATTTTTGACATTCGACGGAACACGACTGCAATGATTGCAGAAAATGTATACACGTTTCAATGATTCAATCGTGATCGATGCACAGGAAACAAGGAGCCACTATAAAATTTCTGATGTGGACGGAAGATGATGCGAATCAGACGCGTGAATCGCAGTCGGCGTTCGTCAAAAGAACGCGCGAAGATTGAAGCGGGAAGCTCACAGATGCGAGCGTTCAAAGCGTGCCGGTACCCACGCGCGAAAATCTGCCCGGAAACGCTACTTTATGTCCTACACGTGATCGTTAAGAAATTAACTTCCCCTGCGTTCACTTTAGCTTTCGCCGACTGCGGTAGATCGCCTTAAATTCCCTAATTATTTCATCTTGCTGCGTTCTTCGGGTCTTTCCCGACCCAATAACGTTTTCGTATTTTTAGCATCGTTATGCTGCTAAAAATATTTCTTAGCACTAGAACTATCGGATAGGTCAAAATGACCCATTCCTGATTTCTTCTGGCACAATTACTGAAAAACCAGTAGTTCTATGACGTTTTGAATTTTCTTAGAACAATCCTGGTAACGTAGTCCCATATTATTTTAAACTTCTTTGAAGAACGCCTGTCAGTTCAAAATCTGTAGCTAAAAATTGATAATATAGCTGTCATATATTTTTTATATTCACATATATTCTTAATGAATGGTAGATTCTCGAGAGTTATCGTTTTCAAAAAATAAGTTTTAAAAGTATTTCAACATCTGTGCATTGAAACTGCGATAATTACATATAATTATATTAGATATTAGATATTAATTACAAAAATAATTATCGCAGTTTTAATACACGCACGTTGAAATATTTTCATATTATTAAAATACCCCGTTTTATAGGAAAGTTTCAGCGAGAATTGCCTGATGCGGATGTGTTAATATCTTTTATATAGTTTGTACAATTACTCTACAGTGTTCGCGATGGCTATCGGTTGCAGTAGCTGCAGATGTTTCATTGCTCAGGGTGTGCGCCGTGCATTCACAGGATGAAATGTTATCTCGTCGCGTCTCTGGCAACAGAAAATTCATGTCTCGAACATGTTTAGTTCCGTCGGTCCTGAAATAACAATAACTTCTAACCGCTTCTGCGGACAGTCACAGCTTATCTAACAGTTTATTTGATGAGTAGCGATTTCCAATTTGGTGATTCGAGATGCTTGCGAAACATGTGCTCGCAGGACTCCGATCCTTCGAAGATAAAGAATCGTGTACCACCGACCGGATACCAATAACGTGAAGCAAACCACTGAGTTTTCCATAAAAATATTTGTATGGTATTCAAACCATTTTAACCCCTTGTGTCATGATTTATTTTACAACTACGCTCGATGGGACTAATTTATCGTTAACAATTGCTTAGAAAAAGTACAAAATTTGATATTTATACTACCTTTACGTTTACTCCAAAGATTAACTGACAATAGAAAAGTAATGTCTAATTTCTATTCAGGAAAATATGATTAGCATTTAGGTCTCTCAAATTCAGTTTAACCCCTCGTCCCATGATTCCTTTCGCAACTGTGCTTGATGAAAGTGCATGATCGTTAATAACTTAGACCAAAAGAGGAATTCGATACTTAATCTACGTCTGCGTCTACTCTAAAGGTTAAATATTGCTAATGGGTAAATGATATTTAATTTATATTTAAAAAAGTAAATAACCTTTAGATTCGTCGAATTCGGTTTAAAATTCTCACTGCGAGTCTGACACGATATTCCAGGAGAAGGGTTTAAATAGGAAATTAATTACGACCTACTAAAATGTAAGACGTTACATAAGATGATCAGCGCGTTTTCGTGAAACACCCTGATGCAATACATTCTAATTTTCCTCTTAATGAACAACGCCGTTGAGTTTTCTCGTGTCCACCTTTTGCCCGTAGCAAGTAAATAAATAGACATTGGAACGATCGAACAGAACTTCCGTTCGTACGTACAAACATTCACGGTAAAGTGGCCACTCAAAAATAAACGTCTTCGTTCGCGTCCTTTAGCACCACAAGAGAGAAAGTCTACTTATCCTTCTTTCTGTTTATCCCTTCCTCGAAAGGCTTCTGGCACGGAGCAGGGAACCTTCCAAGGGGAGGACACTTCAACGCGATGTTAAGGAGTCCTCGAAATCCTGTCGTTTAAGAAAATAATCTCAATTATTTCGAAGCTGGAAGATAGAGCATCCTTGCTACTGGAATTCTTCTGTTTCCACTATTGTCCTCTGCATTACTTCGCAGTGGAATGCAGTAGTTCGTCAACGTCGCGCGTGTCGAGAGGTCCCACGTGTACAGATTCGATCTTCTAATGATGTACAATCAATCTTTCATTTGTAACAACTTTCAATGCAATGATCGTTTGTTATTCTTGTAGTGACAAGAGTGAGAAAGGTAACAACGATTGATCGAGGTTTAAATTAATATTAACCCCTTTTACTTGTTCATTTTCATATAAATGAAATATTATTTTTTTATTATCTATATTAAAAATAAACTAAATAGATGGCAATGTATTGCTAAGGGAAAAGACTTTTATTTTACATTTCATTTTATTCGTTATTTGATTTATTTATTGAGCATCCGGAAACATGAAATAAATTACAAATGAATTTATAAAAAATCCCTAATGGAATAGGTAAAAGTTTAGAAGACTGCTAGAAAACTAGACCCGAGAATCTGCGATGAATTCGTGTCAGGATCGACTGGTGAATGGGATTTTCAAAGGATGTCATTGATTTCATTTAGCAATTGTAAACGAATCGCACAGACAGAGGCAAGTGCTCTGATATTAGTTAAATGTAAGGTATGATTCCACTTCTTCGCTCGTAATTCAAGTAGTCTCGGAAAGTAACCATCGTCTTATTATGGGGCGCATAACTGTCGCGTGCGACGGGCAGGAAGTGAGCCGTAAAACCTATTTGTCGGCTTCTCCTTATCCAGTTTCCTCCACAACCGTACCTCTTTCTATCGTCGAAAGCTTCCAGGCTTAAGCTGTTGTCGACTTACGCGCGTTCCCATCGGTTCGGTTAAAAATCTTAATCGGTGCCGGTAACACTTTCTTTCCATGCGAATTCATCTATATTATACACAGTGGAAGTCGGAATGGAAATTTTGAAAATGTAATTCGAGAAAATTCTAATTAGACGAAGAAGATATTGTCAATGGATTTGCAAATATAGGATTCGTGAATGAAAGAAGCATTCGTCTTTGTTTTAACAGTTAATCTTCTAAAGTATTGTGAAATATTATAAAACATGTGATTTATACTGTAATTACAGTCTTCACAATAATAAAAATGTGTATATAGCAATAATAAAAATTAAATCAGTTTGAATAAAGGGATCGATAGTTCGAAGTCTCTATTTGCATTAAGTGCATTAATCTTTTTTTAAGATAAAAATATGTTTTTGGCAAACATCAGAATATAAGATGTAATAATATTAACAAAGTTTAAATATCTATCGCAATTTGTTCGAATTGTAAAATTAATGAGTCCACACCTGCGTTTAAAAGGAAAATAGTTAAAAGGAAGACGCATAAAATTAATTAGATCATAAATTCATTAGACTTCATTATTTTCTGACAAAATATTAACAAAATTATTAGCAACTTACATAAAAGAACATCTTGTAGAAATTATGGGGCAGAATTGTTTTATCTCTATGTTCCATGTGTTAATACCTTACTCGACATTTTATATTGAATTTTTCCTTTTATAATTTTGCTGCGTTCAATCAAATGGCGACTGAGAGTCGCCTCTCGGGTGCAAAGGGTTAAACCATCTAAGTGCATTCATTTCCCCAATCAGGTATCAGGGTGCATTTATCTCCTCATCAAGTACTTTGCGCCTCAATTCGGAAACCACGCGTAATCCTTCTGTATTAGAGGTAATAACGCTTGACACCTAATTAGGTACTTAGGATTAAAGGGGAAACGAAGAATAGACTTAACCGTCTTTCTAATCGTTCAGGGTATTCAAATGGCTAGACGCCAGCGGATGAAAACTCTTTGGGACCCCCCATTAACGGAATTTGAAACCGATCTGTGAGCAGGAATAAGCTTGTATCACTGAAAAGGAATTATATTTCCCGTCTTAATATTAAGAGTGTCATCGTTTATCTAACTCCTTAGACACAGATCATGAGTTATTTTATGGAACAAGAAAATAAGTTACAGTCGGTCACAAAAATATTGAGACACCAGTGCAATTTTGACTTCTAAACATTGTATTTGGAGCAAATAAATAAGTATATAATAAAATGTTTTGAATTATGTTAAAGTACAATATAAAAAATGCATTCATAAAAAGCGGCTGGTTTATTACTGGTAGTTACTTTAATATACAGGGAAAATTTTTAAAATGTCAAACTTCATGTCACAAAGATATTGGGACACTTTATCTTACTCTTAGTTATAAAATACAAATATCTTTGGTGTAATTTTTTAATATTTCGTTGGGTATCCTTTAAATATTCAATGCTGAATTTATTGAATTTCAGTCTTTATGCATTTCTAAAAGCGTGTTTTACAAATGCGTAACAGTTGCTGAACGCAGAAGCTAAACAAATTTTGCGTTTATCTCTCCGAAGGAACGGAAACGGAAAAACTCGCGTGCGTTCGTTGGTTTGCGAGAGAACGCTCCGTTGGTGAGTAAACTGTGGATTACACCATATTGAGATTCCGACCCCTGTCGAAAAACAGCTGTATCTCTTTACCGAAACGTTTTCTGGTTTTCTTTGTTAGGAACAACTCGTAAATTATGGGAATGAGTGTCATTCGGTAAAACAAAATCAACAATTTTGGTGCAATTTGCTGAGGATGCCCACAATGGTGTTGACATCCGTAAGATTTTACAACTTACAGATGTTTCTTTGGGCAATTATCAAAGAAATTGATGTGGCAACACGAAAATCGCAAATCAATCAAAGTCTCGATAGATGCAACCTTGGAGTTTCCATAGAGGAATTTCATAAAGTCAATTTCACTGCTCGGTGGTTCGTGTTAAAAGACTCCACTGACGTATCCATGTCATCTGGCAGCGCGCGCTCGCGTGCGCCGTAAACGCGTGAAATCAGCGGTGTCTAGCTGGCGCGACTAGCCAAGTAGCAGCCCGACGCAATCGCGCCTCTCCCCTTATCGCGATAAACCCTTCCCGCGGGGAGGGGAATCGCGTGACGGGAATTCGACGTGGATCGCGCAACCGAGCTCGGATTTACCCGTCGGCGTATTTGACGGATGTCGGCGGCGCGCGCGATCGCGTCAAGGAACGAACCGCGTTGTCGCGTTAGGTACAAGAGTGGAGAATCGTCACCATAAATTACGGAATCCGCCGGGCAGACGGCCGTTAATAGTTTGTTCTCGAGTCGAGACGAGACGAGGCGAGAAGATAAAATCAAGAAACCGTCCGCGCGGTGCGTCGGCGGTCAAAGAGGAACGACAGAAAGCGGAATGGAGCCGAGCGAAGCGCCGATACAAATCTACAGCTTTTCTCGCTCCCTTGTGTTCCCTTTTCCTCCGTTGGCCACTGTTCCTGTCGTCGCTTCTTCCTCGCCTCCTCTTCTTCTTTCTTCTTCCTCTTCTTCCCGAGGGCAGCGGGCGTTCCTTCGCTGCCTACGACGCCGGTCATCGCACCATTGTAGTGGGTTCCGAATTGCGGATTAACTGTAAGCGATACCCACAACAAAAGCGCGCGCGCTTTACCTGACAGGGCTACACTGTGTCTCTCACGTCTTGGCCGACTACTGACAAGCTAAAAGTGTGCGGGGGCAGGGGGACTCGGCCGCACGCTTCACCTCGGTTCCCTGGGAGCATAGTAGCCGAGCTTCCGTGTCCCCAGGATTCGATACAAAGCTGCTACCGAACGAAATCCGACGTCGATGCTCGTTACATCTCGCTTCGCATTCAGTTTCTAATCGAATACCATACATATCTACAGTGCGTTATTTGCGTGAACCAAGCTAGCCTGTGGCTTAAAAGTGTGGAGGGGCAAGGGGATTCGCATGCTCCATCTCAGCTCGCAGCTCGGCCAGTAACAAAGACGTGAAACTAATCTCGCCGTTACTATTGGAGCAAGAAATCTTCGCTTTTGAGCCACTGGCTAGTTTGGAGCACGTGAGTAACGCACTGCAGTTCAATAGTGAGAAGGTGACGAAACTGAGGTTTTACTGTTGCTAAAACTATCACTGCCAGCGACGTTCGCCCTTGCCCCCGTGCACTTTCAGCTTGTGGGTAGTCGGCCAATTTACGATCGGTGGAGGGTACTCCTGTGTTCCACTGGTTTATGGCGGCATTGTAATGTCTTTCGATCGTATCTCATTGTGACCGGTCCTCAGCATCGCCGGCCGAATTCTTAAGCCACCCCCGGAGCGGCAACTTCTTATCGATCGACCGCGGTTTTTTCATTGATCCCTGCTGTTAAAGCCTGTCCTGTTGATACGTCGCTTGTTTTCACCCTTGCTGGATAAATTACGCAATCATGGATGAATCTTGTTGCGAGGACTGATGATCGAAGTTCGAGTAACAAGCTGTCGTTCATGGAACTGATGATTCTTTTGGTCTGCTGTGTCTTTGGTCATAGTTTTGGGTGATGGTTATGTCCTTAGTGGATAGATGCGGAAGTTGTCGTCTGTTTTAATGATGTTTCGTTGGTTTGTTCCATATTCATTTGTTCTTCGGAATGCTTTAATTTCCGATTATCTATATTTCTGATTTCATTGGAATTGTAGATTTCTGTTATCAATCTTGGACTTTTAGAGTAAACGTAGACATAAAGTAAGCCTCAAATTTCACCTTTTTCTGCTAAATTATTAATGATAATGCAGGTTTTATCGAGCACAGTAGTGAAAGCAATCATAGGACAAGGAGTTAAATAAATAAAAGTTAAATACCTGACCAGTCTAATTTCAGATCAATCACAAAAATGTGGATGCTTTGCAATCTTTTATTTCATTTCTTCAATTGAAACTCGTTATGCAATAATCTCCGTAAGATAATTCTCGTGCAACAACAGCTTTAACGACGTGTAAGTATCTATAATTATAACATACATACAACATACATACAACATACATAACATAAGTAGTTGTAAAATTATATAATGTATCACACACGTAGCATTATGACCTGTAATTTTAATCCCTCCATTAATGGGGAACATTTCTATTCTAGACAAAAGAAAAGCTGTTATACCTGTGTTCCTTCACTCTATAATAGCAGACCCTAAAACATAATCGCCAGCAACAAGTGATCAGTATATCCCAGGTTTTTAGCAGTCAGTTTTATGACCTCTCTGAAATGCTAATACTCTATACAAATATGGTAAGTAGAGGCAAATGGATTAAAATAAAACGAACAAGCGGAACGGCCATAGTGAAATCGTGTTTGTAAACATACTGATGGTAAGTGAATAGCAGTGTAATCGGCTAGAGGATGTTTGAAAAACATTCAATCACTCGTGATAAACATATTCTGCTTCCATATTTTAGTTTTATACGTTTTTCTGTCCGTGACGTTGAATAACCTTGAGTAATTATAGTCAGTGAATTCCCAATGAAAGGGACTGCCATTGTAGATGTTTAAAAAAGGGTGGTGCCATTTAAAACAATGGAAGTGACCTTGATATCTCTAAAAAACATGACATAAAAATAGAAATCTTTTTGGTATCGCGTGAACCTTATAGAATCGTTCAAATTTTTCCTTAAGACATTTGACGTATCTTTAAAAACTACGAAGATATTTGTGATTCATCCTGTGTATTATATATTATACTAATACTAAGATGAATTCAAGTAACAAAATAGCAAATAAATATTTTCAGCAAGGGATGAACCTTCTGTGCTACAATAGCGAGTCTCTCTCGTAATTAGAATTTCAAACCCAACATCAATAACATGAGTGAAGTACGGTCGCTATAATTATGGCCTGCATTTTCTCCAGCTAAATCATACTCCGAGGGATTAACGCGTCTTAATACTTGACCCTTAACGATCGTGACTCTCATGTGACAACAGTACTTTATCACTGCAGTCGTATGTCACGTAGGAGGTGACAAAACGGATCCTGTCGAAACTCGCTGTCCGTAAAATGTGGACACGATTGCCTTGCCAGTTAACTCTAGAACTACTAGAATTAACTACTTCAGTTAACTAGAAATACTGACATCAAAAAGCTTTGTTTCTCAATTCACTTGCGATTTCTCTTTGAGTTGACTCCAAAAAATATCGTCTGTGCATAGTTAGAAAATGTTAAGTTTTCTAACGAAATACTTCCGAGTGCAAAGGGTTGACATCGCAATTTTCGCATATTTATCGAAATCAACTGCAACCTAATGAGAATCATGTACAAAAAGCTACCGTCCGATAAGGGTTATCCCTTTGCACTCGAAAGTCTTTCATTAGAAATATTCAACACCTTCCAATGAGTTATAGACGACATTTTTTTAAACGAACTCAATGAGAGAACACATAAGTTAAACCCTTGACCTACGATTTATTCTTCAACTCTAATCGATACAACTTTGTAATTAACAATTCATTGGAAAAAGGGGAAAGTTCTAGGCGTACTCTATGTCCATATCTACTCCAACGTATAATAATTGATAACACGAGAATAATATTTCATTTGAATTCACATAAATTGAATAATATTTATATTTGATAGATTCCATTGAAAATCTTTACCACGAGTCTAATACGTTACCATCGGACAAAGGGTTAAGAAACAGAATCATTATTTCAATATTTCTCATACTTATAGATCACGCGAAGCTTAATATTTTTATAGAATTCTCTAGAATTTAGGTATATCGAATTAAATGGCGACTGAGAGTCGCCTCTCGAGTGCAAAGGGTTAATACCTCGAACTGTCTACATAACGACCTGCTAACTTTTCCATGGTTTTCCCTCGGTCACGTGTGACCTCTATCAAGCGCGGCGGTTCGTATTGCCCTTGTCGGTGGTTTGTATTGCTCTTGTCGGCGAGACGAAATTGCACCGACCAATCGGAGAGGCGTGGGCGCGGCGGCCGCGTGGTGGGGAGCACGCGTCTGCCAATAGCGGAAGCCTGCTCTCGGGTGCAGCGATGGATCGCTCCAGTGTAACCATCTGCAACTCCGAAACGCAACCTCAGTAGCGATCGGACGTCGGCGTGCATATGACCTAGGTGTTCGATTCTTCGCGCGCACGTTTCGCGGTAGGGTTGCGTGAGAAAAGTGACACGATCTCAGCTCAATCTTGCACGGCATACAATGAATTCGATGATGGCGATACCCATGGAATTACAGTACCATCTGCACCAGCAAATGCTGTTTCATCAGCAACAAGTCAGTTTGAGGAGGAGAGAACTATCAGGTTCGTTATATATTTTTGAATGATTTTTTAATACGTTGAACGCCGCACGATTTCATAGAGGAAAATACACAAAATGGGAAAAATATAATATTAAATTAATAATAATATTAATATTAAATCATTCCATTGAATTGCATTATTATTGTTGCATGTTCATCTAACTGAATGTCACCGTATTCGGTAGTATTATTTATAATATACAAATGTTTTCAAATAATCATCGTTTAATTCAATGAATTATAGTAATTCGATTTGATTGGAGGTCCTCGGTGACCCCATGGCGTTCAACGTGTTATGTTAACACTATGTTTGTAAAAGTTTCCATACACTTAATATGAATTTGTACGGGTTAAACTAAATTAGAATAATTTCGTGTTTGTTGAAATTCTTGGAAACTACTTGTTTACTATCTTTTTATTTATGGCAACAAAAATTTACAGTTACATTACGTTTTATAAGTCCTTTAAACATCTTTCCCATACCTCCGATAAATCGTATTTTCCTATGAACAAAACAATTGTTTCTTAAACGAATCGTC